TATAAAATGTTGCATTAATAAGCAACTTGAACTGTAACTAGATGTAGTACAATATATATTTGACATATAGAGTCAACACAATTTTACCATGAAACATGATCAAAGAAGTAGTAAGTCTTAGTTTTTATTTACTGACTAATTGTATGTACAATGTAATACTTGATGTTACTGGAATCTACACAACCCTATTAAAAGCTACCTATTGAAAGGGCATAAAAGAAATTGCCTTATGTGTGTATATATGAAATAAAAGAAACTAATATTCCTAATAACATATCAAACTGGCCATTAAAATTAGTATGGTAATACTAAAACAATTAGATCTCTCGGCCTTGTGGACTACAAGCTTTTAGCCCATTCAGCCTTCGGACTCATGGGCTATCAGCTCGTAGTCCACTTGCACTTGAGATCTAATTGTTAATTAGTCAGTAAATAGACACTAATATTTACTGTTTATATTGACCACATTTCACGGTACAAGTGTGCTGACTCTACATAAGAAAGTTAAAAAATAAATTCATTAGAAATTATATATATGATATCAAAGAGTCAAGATTTTGCTGTAACTCCGAGTTTCGTGCTACGCACTCATCAGACAGTATTTAATGATAAACATTCCTATAATCTAGATATATATACATGCTATAGAACAAAAGGCTAAGCTATTTACATACAATACGTGATAGTTATGCTAGAAACAATAGGTGTGAAGGTAAAAATTACAAAAGAGAGTATACTATTAATTAAAACTGCATAGGTGTGAATACAATAGGCTGTAGAGGTGTCAAGTGTTCTTCAGGTAGAATTTGTTTTCGTGTCGGCATTTAGAGATGAGTTCTGATCTTTTGTTTAGTATATTGTCGTTACTGTGTTTAATTATCATAAGTTTTTCTGTAAGGCAGAGGTCGCATCGTTTGGATATGTTGTTGTAGGGTCTTGCACGGCTGATAATTGTCCATTTGATGTTGAAGTCTTGTTTTTTGTCTTTTAGTTGCCAGATGTACTTAGAAAGTTCGGTGCTGTTGATGTGTTTTCTGTGTTTAAATGTAGATTTGTGCTGCGAGAATCTTTGTTTGAATGTTCCTTCTGTCAGTCCGATGTAGTTCTTGGTTGTGTTGCTGGTTGTGACTTGCGCGTTGTAGATTACACTGG